AATCCTTGTGCTTTCTGAATCCTGGAGCTCCTCTTCTACAAAGAGGGTCCTTCCTTCTGGCATCTCAGTTCCAGGTACCAGGTGGAATGGAGGGGTGCTTGCTGAGAGCTTCCCCTCATGCCATCCTCCTCCATCCCACTCCACCCTGATCAGTGATATAGATGTGCTTGCATGGGATAAGAAGAAAATTCTTGGTGATAGTTCCTAAATTTTGATAGGTTGTGGAAGGGGGGGGCTCCACTGTGTCTCACCCAGCTAATAACCCCTCAACTCACTCACCCCACCGCCTAAAGTTGAGTATATAGCTGCTGAGAATTCTCTTCAGGATGAGATGTGGGTGAGTTTTCAAATATCCACAGTGAGTCTTGTTTTTCCTAAGGTTCACCCCAATCCTTCACCCTCCCAGCCGAGGATCCCACAAATGCCTTCAAGACCCCCTACTTCCGACTCTGGACTCTGTGACAGTGAAGGGAATCTGTCCCATCTTCAGGGTGGTGGCAAAGGCTGAGTGGAGAAACATGCTCTGGACGTAAACTGCGTGGCCAGCTACAAGCCAGAGTTTCCGAGAAATTCTTGGGTCCCATCGTTTTGTCCCCCACTTCTCCAGCCTGACCCATGCCCAGAAGGTCCAGCTAGGTTGGGCAGGCTCAGTCCACAACCACTATTAGTAAGGATCTGAGCCTGAGAATCTTGACCCTGGGGAAAGGGGAAGAGCCACCTGACCTCACTGCTGTTGCCTTGACTCCCATCTACCATACTCCCCAACAACCCACCTCTCTCAGCCCCAGTGCTCCCTGGTGGCAACCATGCAGAGGCCGCTATTTCCTATGCTGGCCAGGAACAAAGCCCACACATTGGAACTTGGATGTGTAGTATGTGTCCCACCACAGTCTTGGCATTGCTGGCCCATATGTTTGTACCTTATGCCCTGGTAGCGTCTCCATGCCTGCCGTGATCACACCGTTGAATGTAAGAACCAAGTATATTTGTTTTCCACGTGGGCATACTTCGTACATGTGCATATGCATTTGTATGTGTAGAAACCTCTGTGTGTGTGTGTGTGTGTGTGTGTGTGTGTGTGTGTGTGTGTGTGATGTTTTCTTGTGCATTGACACCACTCTCCTGGTAGGACACAGACTATGACTGAGGGCTTTGCCTCCCACGTGTCAAAAAGACACTTTCCATCTCAGGATTTGTTTTTCCACATGCAGAGTAACCCTTTTTTATTTGACCATTCCCGAGGACCACTCCAAGACTGGGGCTTCATTAAAATACTGCATCTTTGAGGGGACAGGGGAGGGGAAGATCACCCAGAGCCTCCCACTATCCCTCTCTTTCCTTTATCTTATTTTATTTTTTCTTATTTATTTTTGAGGCAGAATATGACTATGTAATTTTGGTCAGCCTGGAACTCACTTTGCAGACCAGGCTGGCCTTGAACTCACAGAGATCCTTCTTCCTCTCTGCGTCTTGTGAGTGTTGGAATTAAAAGTGTGCAACACCCTGGGCAAGCCCTCTTTCTGTAAGTCATCAAGCTAAGGAGTCTTAGCCCAGTTGAGAGATCCAGGGGAGAGTTGAGACCTCAAGAGGGCTGGAACCCTGCTCTAACCCCAGGAGACAGGGGAGGGGGGGCCAATATGGCCTTCAGTATGAACACGGTGTCATATTCAGCTTAACCAAGATCAGGCTGCACAGCAAATGGGACGTGCTGCTGGAAGCATGGCCTTCCTGCCTCTCTTGCCCCAGCTTCATACAGGTGAGCAATTCATAGCATGTCTACGGCCAGAGGAATGGCTTGTCTGGAGCATACAAAGAAACAGCCCAGCTGGCCATTGAACAAACCCAGGGCCACCCCAGAGAAGGCCCAGCACTGGGACAGACCTTCTTACGGTGCATCTAGCTTCAGCCTGATGTGTCCTTAGGAGCAGCTAGAGCTTACCCTTGCCTCAGTGCTTTGGTCTCACTGAGGGCTGTGGGGGAAGGGAACTGTTCTGAGATGCAGCTTGGCTGCCCAGGTGGCTTCATCCCTTGTGACTTGATTATGGTAGCCAGAGCCAGTGCTCCAGACCTTGGGAGTCCTCACTTAGGGGTCCTGTGAGTGAGTCAGGCACCTGCATGTACCCACAAACACCAACCAGTGATTGTCAGTTGGAGCTTACATACCCAAAGCACCTCCCAAGCCTAAGTAAATATAGGCACAATACACAAGTCCAAATGCCCAAACAAGGAGCCCACTGCATGCATGTACACACACGAACCTGTGCATCAAAATGCCTTCTGCTTCCATGCAGTTCCCCCCCCATCTCCATCCTCCCCCCCCCCACTGCCTTTTCCCCACCCCTCCAAGGAAAAGGACTTTCCAGGGAAAAAAACAGAGACCTTTGCCCTCAAAAAGAGCTTGAGATCGATATTGTTTAGACTCCTGTAGCTTGTATTTCCTTCTAGTCCGAGGGAGATTTAAGTCTACGGTTCAATCCAATCTTTAAGGGAGGGGGAGCGAGGGAGATGATGAGGAAGTTGGGATGGTGTGCTCAGTTCAAGTATTTATCTCGATGTGGCCCCGCTCTTTAATACACAGGCAGCTCGCCAAGCCAGCCCCATAAATCAGAGAAATCAATGCCTATTTATGATCATTATTACTCTCTCCTTCTCTCTTTTTAAAAGAAGGGGTGCCAGAACAAGGTCTGACCAGAACCCTCCTCCCCTTCCTCACTGCCCCAACCAGGAAGAATGAAAATTGGAAAGAGGAGGGAGAGGGGAGTGGGAGGTCAGTCCTGACCTTGACTACAAGGCTGTATCTTTGAAGTATAGGCTACAAAAAGACACAGGCGCAGAGGACCACAAGCTTCGAAGTTCTCAGAGCCTGGTTTCTCCCGCTGAACAATGAAGAAATCTCTATTTGCCCACGTGATTAGAAGATAAAGGGAGATAATGGGTAAGAAATCAAATTACATCACAATACCGCTCCCACCAGACACTCAGCCAACGCATCCAGGAGGTAGAAGAGTGGCCTCTGCCGTCCCTAAGCATAACGGGGTGGAGCTCTCCTGTCTCTGGTCTTTTTGTACTGGGGCCTTCGGGAATGGGACACTTCCTGGAGCTGCCTCTGTCCTAGCGCCTGAAATAGGTGCCTGGATGCTTCAGTGTTGTGAGGGACCACGGTGGGGGAAAGGGGAGAGTCCAATTTTTAGCATTCCAAATGGCAAGGCTCTCTCTATGGAACCCAGCATCACATCCCCAAGTGCTTCCGGAGAAGGAGATGGGTGGCTGGACCAGATTCTGAGCTGGGTAGCATTCCAGACGTGACGCCTTCATCTGCAGGACCCAAAGATGCCAAGCTTCGCTCCCTAAAGAAGGAAGACAGATTTTCCCTGCTTCAACTCTGCACACGGGGAGCTGCTGAACACCTATTAGGTGCAGATGATACACACAACAGTAAGATATAAGGACCCATAGAAATGTTAATGGACTTCAGACTTCTCTCCAGGCCACCGATCCCCAAGTGCCTGAGCCCTGTGGCGAGACCAGCCTGGGCCTCATGGCGTCCTGGGGTGTAGAGCCCAGCACTTTAAGTTCCCTGGCCAGGAGCAGGGTGTTGGGCCACATTAGGGGGACTTTTTCAAGGAAAAGGTGGGATAACTGGGCCATTCTCATTTCTGCCAAAATCAATCCTGGGGGAAAAAAATAAACAGGAAATAAACTCTAGAGAAAAACACAGAGAAGAGGGTCCCCGTAGTCACCTAAACCTTAAGCGCACTAGGCAAGCATTCTGGTGTGCAAACACAGATGAGTGCACGCACAATCACCACGAGCTCACCAATGTCCAGCCATGCATCTGACCCAGAGTAACAGTCGCTCTGCTGCACAATACAAACACATGCAGAACACGCACAAAATGGGTGGGAACTGAGGCTCACCATGGTGTGCATATTATCACAAACGCACGCACACAAATATGTATGGACACCTATCTAGCATATTTATCTGCATACATATACACAGCTGTGTATGTGTTACCGTCATCTTGCATCTAGAGGAAGGAAGAATCCACCATTTATAAAATTCTAAACAAAAGAGCGATGGTAGCCTTTCTCTCCCCCTCCACCACCACCTAGGCTCTGAACGCCTCACCCAGGGCCAGTCCTGGAAGATCTGTCCCAGGGTCACTGACAACTATCCACGGTGTCCTCTGGGCTCTCCAGGTATCCAGCCTGTTCTAAGGTCTTTGGTGTGGAATCACCTCTCCGCCTCTCCTTGTAATGAGGAAATTGACAAGGCTTTGTTGGATTTGGGGAAGTGACCTCCATACTTAGGTTTCAGGTCAGAGGGAGATAGACCTATGTCTGTCCGGGGGCTTCCAGGCCCAGAATGGGAACACTAGTTACAGCTTTCCCAGCGTCGAGGCCTTCTCTTTGCTGTACTATGAAAGAGACCCTTGCCCAGTGAAGTCCTGTGTATCACACCAGAGCAACCATCTGCCAAGGGGAGTCCCATGCCCAAAGGAAGATGTGAAGCCCAGGCTGCAGAGACCTTGGGCCAAAGCTGGGCAGCTCCACAGACAGTCTGCCACCCTTGCAGGCCCTGATAAGGCCTCTAGCCTTTGGTAGGGGGGGAAAAAAACAAAGGGAGGAAGAAAAAAGCCAGGAGGAGCAAGGGAGAGCAAGGGTGCCTTTTGGTGTATGGAAGCAGGTTGAGCAGGGGGACTCAGTTGGCTGATCCTGGACGAGCTTAGGGAGCCAGCTGGAGCCGCTGGGGGCAGGGAAGTGTAGGACTGGACCTTCTGGCATTTGGGTCCCCTAGAATGCATCCAGGAACAGAAAAAGGCCAAAGCAAATCTGTGCCACACACTCCTTCACCCTGGTATTCGTTGGGTGGTGATGCTTAGGGCCTGTCCTGAGATTCCCAGGGCTCTGCACCCACCCTGTGCAGCCAGAGTGGTAGCCACACAGTGCCTGGACAAGCTCTCCCACAACCCCACAAAGAAGAGGGCAGTCAGCAACTCATGAACACAGTGAACATTTTATTTCAGACTACAGGTTTCTGAACATAATAAAATCTTTGGCTTGTAGCGGCGGTTCAGTCTCGCAGTCTGTGGGGTTGTATTTCTCAAGGAGTCACCAGAAAAGGAACAGGGTTTGGGAGGACAGACAAGACCGGTGGAAGAATCCTGGGAGGGTAGAGGAGAGTCGAAGGGCAGACACGCAAGGAAACACACTCACACGCACACAAAGAAAAGTCCCAGAGAAACCAGGGCCGGCGTTGGGGGGCGGGAGGTACCCAGAGAAGCAAAAACAGTCAAAAGATAAAAGCAACGAAAACGAAACCGGGCTGGGGGGGGGGCAGCAAGGTGGGGAGAAGGGATAAAATAATTATAATAATTATAATAATTATAACAATAATAATAAATGAGATTAATAAAAATGTCCAGCAAATAGAGATCGCTACACATATTTGTTTTCCTTACCTGAAATTAAATATATACACGGTCGTAAGCAGTTTGGCTAGATAGAGCTTTAAGGAATTCGCAGTTTCGTCTGATACTGTGAGTTAGAGAATAGATCTTTTTTTTTTCCCCCATAGCACCTGTCCGAGTCTTTCTCCCGTTTCAAAAACCGTTTCATTCCAATGTGAACGTCCACTCAGAGGATTGCTTTCTCTCGCTTGCTTTCTCTGTCTTCCCGGTTGATGCCTCCCTCCTTAGCGATCGTCTCTGCATGGCGGCATGGGGCCGGTGAAGCGGTAGCCCCGCGGAGCCAGGAGGTGGCACCGGGGCGCTTGGACCGCGGGCCCGGGCTGGCCACAGCTACTCGCTTTCGTCTTTGTCCTGGACCGTGGTGGTAGAGTGGTTGTACAATCCTTGGGCCATGAGGTGCAGCGCCAGGCCGTTCTTGATGCCCGTGGCTTTCTTGATCTTGGCACGCTTGTTTTGGAACCAGATCTTGATCTGGGACTCGTTCAGGCTGAGCTCCTGGGCCAGGGTCTGTCTCCGCTGCTCCGTGATGTAGCGGTTTGCCTGGAACTCCGCCTTGAGTCTCTGCAGCTGCTCTGCCGTGAACGCCGTCCGCGGCCGCTTGTCTTCCTTCTCGTTCTTTTTCTTCTTTAGCTTCCTAGTGCGCGGACCTGCAGCGGGGCGGACAGGGCCGGGGAGGGGAGGAAGGGGGCCGGGAGCAGAGGAAGGAGGAGAAGGCAGAGTAAGCCTTGAGGACTGCTGTGTGGAGCCCACCGCAGGGGTCCCGAGCTTCCGGGGGAGATTGTGGAGGCCCGCTGCTGGGTCCCAGCTACCTCCACCGAAGAGCTCCTCTCTAAGCTATTGAGATCTCTACCCACCCCCTTGCAGGAGGGATTCAGAAGCCAAAGAAGAACACGGACGGGGATTGCAGGGGGCACCCCACACCCCAATTCAAGAAAGCTACCAGACCTAGCTCCCAGTGCTTCCCAGCCAAGAAGGCCCAAAAAGAAAGGAACGCAGGCTAGAGTGAGCTTCGGGGTCCCAACCGGAATAACCTAGACTTAGACAGGAATGGTTTCCTAGCCCCGTAATAAAATGCAGCGGTGAAGGCCGGCCCTGTGGAGAATGGCTGGGCTGTTTTGGTTCCTTCCCACTTCATTCTCAGGAAGCTACACACACACCCATATACAAGCAGGCCTGTGCAAAGCCCCTATCTATTCTCGCCATGGACCCCAGAGAGGCCTGGGAAGCTGAGATCACCCAGCTCCAGAGAAGCTGGAGGCTTTTTCTGCCTTCTTTCCTTTCTGATTGACTTGAAGGAAGCTCCTTCTGGAAGAAGGCATGGCACTGCCTGCCCCTTCCCTAATGGGGCTGCAGCGTCTAGTCTATGAGCTTAAGCCCTGCCTGGGACATTCTAGTTAGCTTCTCAGTCGATGCCAAGAAGAAAAGCAGGACCCTTCTGACCCCTCTGCATAGGGGCAGGCAGGGCTGGGGACAGGAGAACGGCCCTGTTATCTCTTGTCTCCATCTGCGTGCTCCAATTTCGGGGTGCAAAAGTCCTGAAGTAACACAAATAAATGGGAGATCGGGATGACCCTTGCCTTGTCGTCCCCACCCATAAGAAAAACAAGGACCAAGAGGCAATCACAGTGGGTACATGTGCTGTCACTCCGAAATGAACGTGTAGGAAGGCCTTTAAGAACACTCTCCAAGATGAAGTCTCTCAGGCGCTAACGTGAAAGGTTGCTGTGGGGTCCAGCCTGGGAAAGGCAGGGAGAACAAGGCAGAGAGATTGAGGCTGCCTGGAGGGTTGAAGCCTGCTTCTTGGCATTCTTGTTGGGATGCTGGCATTGAGCTGCTGGCTTCAGTGATAGTCATGGAGGCCTATGGACTCATGGGAAGTCCCTGCCGATCCTGTTATTACCTAAAACTATCTGAAAGGAGGGTCTTTGCTGGCGTCTCCAAACCTAATGACCCCTGGATAAAGTGGGCTACTGGATCCTGCAGCAGACCAGCACCTAGGCTCACTAGCTGTTTGTCAAGAGGAGTCCAGGCCTAACTGACTGTAGGAATCATGTCTAGGTAGTCACTCATCTCCAGGAACTGCCTTTCGAATAGAAATATCTGGTTCCTGCCTTCTCTGATCTATAAAACGGAAAGGAGCATCGAACAAAGACAAGGCCTGCTCCTGAGCAGGACTGGGATTTAGATGAACCAAGCAGGCAGAGATTGCCCAAGAAATGTGCGCATCCTCCAGGAGACTCCGCTGCGGGAGGTGCGTCCGGAGCATGTTGTAGTGTTGTTGTTGTGTGCGTGTGTGCAGAGGCACGGACACTTGTAATAAAATCGTAGCCTCCTGGCCGGCCCGACCCACTCAGCCTGACAGCTCAATCACTCTATCCATCAGGCGAGTCAATCAAAGCAGCTTTTCGGAGGTTCAGGGAGCCCGACGTGTCAATAACGGGGCTCGAGATGGCGGGGGCTGATAGCGCGCATCGATCCGTACCCGGCCCGAAGCAGCACGCTTGCAAGAGACCAGCATGCGGAGAGGCGCCTGTGGCTACCTTTTGCCCGGCCCCCTGGCGGGCTCAGTGCTGACCGTGGACCCAAGCCCATGCTGCTCTCCTTGCGGGCCGCGCTGGCCTCACGGGAAGTCCTGGTCCGTGCAAGGGGCCGCAGGCCTGAGCCTCCTCTTTCAGGGTCCCCCAGTTGTCCCTAGGTAGGTCTTAGCCTCTCATGTGCTTCTAGCACACGAAACGAAAGCAGAGAATTGCCCTAAGACTAGTAGATAGCCACTGACCGGCAGGTTTGCGAAGGAGACAGTGAAAGGAAGAAGCCAAGGCCGAAGGGTCAGGGGAGCCCTGCCGGGGAAACGCTGGTTTTCTTGCCCATATTCCAGCTTTCAAACCTGACTCTGGCCTGCTTGTTTCCCTCTCCCACGGCCTGCCAGCTCCAGCGAGCAGTGACTGCTCACCTTTCTGGCTACAGGCTGGCTCTGCATTCTACCCACGCGGGTTGACTCACCATACCCCGGCTGGGCGCAAGGGATGGAGCTTTTCTCTCTCTTTCTCTTTGTCTCCCCGTATCTGTCTTTATGTAAATTGACTCTCCACAGAATAATATCTATAGTGGTTGTTATGAACACGCGGCAAAGATGATTTCTATGGTCGAGTTCCCATGCCAAACCTGGCCCTGACAGGACTAAGATGGTAGGTTGCAGATTTAAGTCTCTAGGCCCATCTCCCCGCCAGCTCAAAGCAACCTTTCCCAAAAAAATAAATCAACGAGTAATTACGTATCTTTCTTAAAGATAATAAACATAAAACAAAGACCTCAGGGCTCAGAGTTCGGAGAACCAAAGGACAGAAACTGGAACCTCCTGTGCTTGCCAGAAGCTGTAACTTCCCGAGTGGTGGGAAAGGCCAGCATGGCAGAATCGGGCGCACGTTCCACTGTGACTGGGACCTGGGGCTAGAGGAGAAGTCCGATGTGAAGGGAGAGCCTTACAAGCTGGGTTTCCTCTCTCCGGAAGCGGGGCTGGAGTCCTGGGGCAGGGCCCCCGGCCAGAGACAGAGGCACACTGTGGCTGGGGTACTCACCAGAGGACGGACGGTCGGAGTAGCGTGTGCAGTAGACCCAGGCGGGCCAAACCAGAGGCTGCTGCGAGTCTGTCTTGACCACCGGCCCACCGTTAGCGGAGCCCATGAGGAGGATCGCGGGGTTGTGTTCCGGGAACTTGGCGCCCTGCGCTCCGGGACTCCCTGCGCCGCCTCCACTGCCGCCGCTGC